AAACACCAATTGGCACTGATGTGAGAGACCTTTTTGTGGTGTCCATTAATGAACTCTCCATTTGCCTTCTGCAAGAACTCCATCAAGCAAATCTGTCGGGTATCAAGTTGGGACCTGACTACCCCCAATCCACTCCCTGCTCTTTGCTGACAATTTGATCCTTTGTGGCACTGCCACTTTGCAAGAAGCCTCTACCATCAGACGAGTCTTGAATGACTTCTGCAACTCTTCTGGTCAAATTCCCAACCTCCACAAATCCTCTATCCTCTTCAATAAAAATGTTGACAGCCACCAGTCTCGTCCTTGCCTCTGCAGTCGGTCACAACCTCAACCTTTCAAGTGTTAACTTCTTATTGGACTATGAACAGTTAGTTCACTTCCTCAACAAGAATGATATCTCCAATCCGCCTGACTGGAGAATCAAGTATTACACACAAACCTTCGCCAACTTCACAAGAAGCAGTTCATCCAACATCTTCAAGGTCCACAGGCGCCTCAACACCATGGTCGACGCTCTGGCCCGCCAAGCTGTGCAACATTCCACTTTGCAGAACTCTGATCTGGAATTCTCCTGTTCTTTAGAGTATCATATGCCTCATTGCAATGTTCTACAAGCACTACAATCTGTAGGCTTAACTGGTGTAACAATACTTGCAGCGCGTTGCTGCTAATTATAAAGTTGTTTGTTGTAAAAAAAACTGAATAATAATAATATAATAGCTAGTGCCACCACCATGCTAGCTGTGGTAATAATTTCCATTTGTGCCGCCATGCTAGCGTCACCTGAACTGAATAATAAGAAAGCATCAAAAGTCCATTTGTGCTCAAAGGCAACTGATAATAATTTTCCACATACTTCCCCGTTCCACAAGACGTGACACAGCTAAATAACCGACCGGCACGAGACACGTACATGGGCTTCAAAGTATTGGGAGCTTCTTAGTCATGCCGCTGACGCTACCCGAGTGACGTAACAGTCCTGACGCCGCAGGGATATCGTCATTAATTAGCGTGTGATATAAATATAACTAGTCACTGCATTTTGCCGCTTTTGCCGGCATCGCTCTCTACAACTCTTGCGTCTTTCCAATTAAAGAAAAAACTTTCATCCATCACTACAAATCATGTGAAAGCTAATTAGGCCGTGCCCAACGCTCCACCATGTACAGCAGCTTTGCAGGGACACGTAGGATCGGATGCCGTTTGGAAGAGAGAGAGGTAGGCAGATAGAAGCCCTGACTATCGCCTCGTCAGAAAAAGCTACAGCCTCTGCTGAAAAGGAGATGGATGATGGATGTAAATGGATGATAGACTGTAAACGCGTTTTCTTGAAAACGACATGTGAGGTGAGAGAGAATAGTGATGGTGTCAGAAGAGAGTAGGAACTGTAGCCTGCGTTATAAAAATTGAAGTCCCAATCTACACAACTCTTCACGTCTTTTGAGACGAGGCTAACATTACTACTGCGAGCGTTGGTTTTGCGCTTAGGCCACCACACCATAGGTATCTCTACACATGATTTGTTACCATTCTTTTTGTCCGGAAAAGTCAGCAACTTTCAGTAGGGAAATTGAAGTTACAAGCTAAGGGTGATTCTTTTTTATTTTATTCTTCCATAAAAATGAAATGTGTTATAGTATAAAAAAATCACCAAGCGTCACTACTATAGAAATCTTTTTTTTTACAATGGTTCATGTTTCTAACAGAGGCAGATGACATAAGAAAGTGCTTGTAACTATAGCAGAGAGCACTGTAGCTCTTGAACCGTCCCTATAATTTTTAAATGTGGTTCCGTTAAGGAAACTGCACCTAGAGACTCGTTTATTGGGTTCCATCTACGTAGGTTATATATAGGTTATATAAAGCTAGACCTAAGAGTTTAGAGACCCCACCCACCCCATGAACACACACACATTAAGTCAGGTCAACTCTCTCCCAATAACCAAGGTCGGACTAATCCAACGTATACAATGAAATATCTCATGTCCGAACATCTTGCAAAACCCTCTCTAAAAAGCTTCTTTTCAAAAACTTGGTCTTTGGAACGAAACTGAATGGAAAATAGCAAATGGTTGGTGGAATGGTAGGGTATTCAACTTAAAAAAATATATATCAGTGGTAGACCGCCGCAGAAGGCATGGCTAATAATTAACAAGGCTGTTCCAAAATGAACAATAAAAGAAAGTGGCCTATCTCAGTTTTTTGAGGAGGCTTAGGCTGTAGGCTCTCTCTTTCACATTTCAATCTTCTTTAGCTCGAATGGAGGCTATTTTAATTTGTTCTATATCTTGTTCTTTTCTGTGTGTTCTCTATAAATTTAAAAAGAAGTGATCTGCCTATATTTGCTCAAAAAAAAAGAAGTGACCTGCCTACTGAACCGTGAGAAATTGGGACAGTTATTGTTGGTCATGGTCAGGTCCATGCACCTACCGTCGTTTTTGTCAAACTTCAGTCCCTTTTGTTAATACAAAATGCCACCACGTCAATGTGTATGTGTATCCAAGCTTGTGATACTTGAACTCTTCAATAATCATTCCCTTGGATCACTGCGCCACTTTGTAGCCGGCTGTCCACAATGTTGAATTTGTGCCTTACAAATGCCAAGTTCGCTAGGCATACAAGGATCCTCATAGAGGATGTTGAACCAATCCATAAACCCTCTTGCCGAATATATGTTTATTGTGTTGGATTTAATGTGGGCTTGGCCCAATTTTAACTCAATTAAGTCAAATAAATCCTTAGGCACATATTAAATGCTAAGGTGCAATTATATAGTTTTAGTTCTCAGATGGAATTTTGACTAAACGTTGACTTAACTTAAATAGGTGGACTATGTGTGCTCCTATTGAGAAGTTGAGAGAGACTAAGGGCGTGCCACATGCATCCGCCGCCTCGAGGAGTAGTGAGCGTGAGCATGTGACATGCACGAGCTTGTGCCGCACTACTCCACAAAGATGATGCGGTGCAAGTCGGGCCTTGGTTTTTCCACTTGAGCTTGGTTGATGGAGTCATCAACTCAGCGATTACCTAGTCTCCATATTCTCCAAGATTACTCCTTTCTTACATTTACGGTAACTTTGTCACCGTCCATGTGTATCCTCTCGATGTGCCAGTGTGCTTCTTCGTCATCCGTCTATTTTCGGTAACTTTGTTGTCGTCCATGTGCATATCCTTCCGATGCTCCGGCTTCCTCCATGATTACTCGATCCGTCCTTCGTGATTACTTTGTTCGTCTGTTTCCAGTAACTTTGTGGTCGTCCATGTGCATATCCTTTCGATGCTCCAGCTTCCTCCTTGATTACTCCCGACGCTCCGGCTTCCTCAGTGATTACTTAGTGCACAACAGTTTGTCTATAACCGGTAACTTCGCCGCCATCCATATGCATCCTCTTGACGCTCTGGCTTCCTCCGTAATTACTCGGTCCATCCATTTCCAGTGACTTTGCCTCCTTCCATTTGACAATTACGGGAGTAGTTGATAAGCGAGAGTTTTTATTGTAATTCTCTGTGATTACTCTGTCCATCTGTTTTTGGTAACTTCACCATCATCCATGTGCATCCTCTCGACGCTCTGGCTTCCTCCATGATTACTCTGTGCATCCATTTCTAGTAACATCGCCGCCGTCCATGTGCATCCTCCTGACACTTTGGCTTCCTCTGCTCGGGCATAAGTATGAGAGGTAACTAGAAGCCTTGCGCTCCGTCTGTTCTCACTAATTTCGCTACTGTCCAGGTGCATCCTCTTGACGCTCCGGCTTCCTCCACTCGGACATAAGTACGAGAGATAACCAGAAGCCTTGCACCAGACATAGAAACCACACCCTCTCTTCTCTGTCGAGTTGCTCCGAGTTTTCCCCAATCTAGTCTTCTGCACAAACAGTAATTGGATGGCAGGCCTCTAGAACCGACGCCCACCTACGACACCTGCTTGGGTGTGCGGGCGAATTAGGTTTTTAGGGAGCACAATGATCTTGTGTGATTGCTTCTCTTCTGCCATGTCTTCTTCCCAACAACCAATACCTTCTATTAGCTATACATCGTCTTCCAAGTGGCCATTTGTGGAACTATACTGCGAGCATCTACCTGCATCACCTGTGGTCCACTACTTTAAGCAAGGCACTATGTCGACTAGTGCGAATGGCGTCGCAGTGCCTCTGGCACTACCACAGGGTATATTTCTATTCTTACTATGTTTGTATTCATGTAAGGTTTTTGCTTTGATAAGTATGTTGTTTTGCTTGTATGCCACCGTTACTTCTATTGCGAGCAGTAGTAATTACACATGTACATACATGTCATAAAAAATATTTGTTACTATTTTTTCTAGATTAAATTAAATATGAAAATACTTATTATCTAACATATTGAACGCCCCCTTTGCCAACCCTAAATTTATGCTTTATATATGATAATCTGGCCAGTGTTTTTTTTTTTTTGCGATTACATAGCACAATGCAGACACTCACAATGCACACACTCACCCCTATGAATCTGGTCAGTGTTCTGCGTTAGCTAGGATTGACAGACTTGAACATTTTGTTTTGATGCATGGATTACCATGCCTAATAGGCTAATACAAATAATATATAATATGGTGGCAACTGGCAAGTGTTTTTGATGCAAGTATGCATGGTTAGCTGTATATATTCTCAGGGACACCAGAATCGGAGACATACACGGTTGTAACGTACACTTGCACCTAAACACGCAATTAATACTCTTTAATCGACGGATATGATTTGTTTAATCAATAGCCAGAATTAAAATAACAAGTCCGCAGTCCGGCCCGTACATACTCTTATTAGTTGTTGCGCTATCTGCCTATCTCTATGGTCAATGGTTGAGCCCTTGCTTTCCTCTAATTAAGGTTGCATTACACACAACAAGCTCCTGTCCAAACTTCTGACCCCGCCGGCTCCCAGTCCCAGCCCGGAGCTTTCACATTTTTCCTTCTTCACCTTTTGAAGAGTGTCCCCCCTTTGTCGATGCGCTCCAACTCCATGACGCTGTCGCCACCGCAGCCGCCGCCCTCCTCCAGCCCGAGGCACGCAGCGATCCAGGAGCTCAGGAGGGGTACCCAGCTGGCGGAGCTTCTCAGGCAGCAGGTAGAGCTCATCCCGGAGCCTAACCGCCGTCACGCTGCAGTGGTCAACGTGGGCCAAATATCCATGGCTATGGAGTCGTCGCTCTCCATTCTCCAGTCTGAGATGGAGCACCCCTTCGTCTCCGAGGTCATGGCTGCGCCCACAAGCTACAGTAAGTGGTGTTATTAAGACATATAACTTGCATAGTTGCATATAACTTTATGTGGATCTGCATATGGGAAAATGAGAGTTAATTTGCAGATCTGTTATAAACTTATTTGGGCTTAAGGGAACTAATTCACGTCACAGTTTACTACTGTTTACTTCCTTGCTCCATTAGTTAATTAATAACTCGCTTTTGAGAGCGACGCGTTAAGAAAAATGGAACGTACTTAATAGTTTAGGCCTAGAGATTTCCAGATCTACATTACAATTTACATATAGTGCATACCGAGTTTCCAAGCAGGCAAGCAGATTCACGCGGCAAGAGTTAGTAGCTTGGCATATGCACTTGACGTTTGATTAAGGATTTCAAAGTACCCACCAGATCCAATCCCACGCATTTAATTATTTTCTCATTTCAGGGATCAATCAGCAGTGGTTCGCAGGTTCTCGACTTCACAAAGGCATCGCTTTCTCCTCCATTGATGGCCGCTGCCTCAGAGTTGAAGAAAGATGAAGAAGACAGTATTTCTGTGTCTATGCACAGATATTCGTATTCGTATGATGAGTACTAGCTAGTCGTCTTCGTTGCCCACGATGTCGGCAGATGCATTCCAGATGATCAGGTAGATTTATCCTTGGGACCCGGGTGGTACGGGCCAGGTAGCGCACTCAGGGATATTACTATCATATAGTGCATACCGAGTTTCCAACAAGCAGGCAAACAGATTCACGCGGCAAGAGTTAGTAGCTTGGCATATGCACTTGACGTTTGATTAAGGATTTCAAAGTACCCACCAGATCCAATCCCACGCATTTAATTATTTTCTCATTTCAGGGATCAATCACAAGCTGGTCTCGCTGGGTGGGGTTTGATGGAGGGCCAGGTCATGTTTTCTCTCTTAATCTGTCCTAAGAAACTACAGAAATAAATCGATCTCCTTATATTTGATTTGTGGACAACGGAGAGAGTATGAATATGATCAGACACTATATTGTAAAAAACAGTCGCTGCTAAGTAAAGCTTTTTTAGAGACGGCTATAATAGTTATAGAGGCGGCTGTGTGCTCTGGCCACCTCTACTTTTCCATCTTCCGAGAATCCATTCTTAAGAACGGGCCGAACCAAGCCACACACCCCCTAGAGACCGATTACTAGAGGCGAGTCAAAATTCAGCCACCTCTATAAATTATTTTACATAATATGTAAATCAGGCAAAAGAATAGCAAAATAATACTCCTATGTCCCAAAATAGAAGTCGTTCTCGCTTCCTGAGAAGTTGGTTTTTTAACTTTAACCAATTATATATAAAAGAATATTAATATTTATAATACATAATTAGTATCATTAGATAGATCGTTTAATATACTTCATAATAAACTTATTTGGAGATATAAATGTTACACGTATTTTCTACAAACGTAGTTAAAGTTGAGAAAATTTGACCTACATGTATCCCATAACGACTTCTATTGTGAGACGGATGGAGTAAGTCGGACATCACAAGTTACACGAAATACACACACATGTGGCTTCCTCCCTTACCACTACTACCCCCAGACTGGTTTTCTCCCGTCGCTAGGTACCTTCCCCTTCGACTCTGCGTCTTCCGTCAGGGGCTCATGACCATCCCTCGCGTGCACTGAAACCCCGTCAAGAAAAGTCCCTCCCGTCGGTTGGTGCTGTCACGGGGAGTCTGACCATCAATTGTGGCTTTGTTCGCGCGCTGCAAGCAGGCATCTGGCCCAAAATAGAGGAAGCGTGCTGCGCGCGGCTACGGAAAGAAAGCGCATGGGAGGGGTTCAATATTTCACGGCCGCGCTCATGACTGTACTTTCCCCAATTTTTTCATCTTTGTCAGCCGCCCCATCCGCACTCTCCACCTCGCTTGCGTCCTGCCCCTCACCCTCACCATGCCGCAACCATCTAGTTGTAACACCTCGGATGTTACGAGCTGACTTAGCACCTAAGTTAAGGTCAGAGAAATTAAGCTGAACGGGTTTTCGAATTTTTAACAAGTTAGAACACGTATGAAACGGGAAAGCGATCTCGCTAAACAAAAACAAGATATAACTTGTGTATAGTGTTTATGTAAAATGATGAGCGAATAGGGTAGATAAGAATGCAACTGTAATTTTCGGAAGTGAATATTGTAACTAGGGTTTTTTGGAGCTCAAACATCGAATTTAGATTGTGTTCAAAATATCATTTTTGACGAATTAAATTGAGTAAATTAGTTAAAAGGTGCTCAGATATTTTGCTCCTATGGGTTAGCAGGGGGCTATTGTAGGGAGTACGGATGGTCGAGGTTAGGCCTTTTAGAAACTAGGGCAAAAGTGTTAAAAGTTGCTTAGCTCCAATCGAAGCTTTCGACTTTTCAAAGTTGGAAAAAGGAAATAGACAATGCCGTTTTGTCGGTGTTTCGAAGAAACACCGGCTAGTAAATTTATAATTGTTGCGCGTTAGGCCCGGATGGTGCACTAAAGGACACAAGGTTTATACAAGGTTTATACTGGTTCGTAGTAGGGGGTACAATCGGTCGAGAGGGGGAAAGGTCCCAAGTCTCTGATGGAATGGTCGAAAGGACGCCAAGAGCTCGGTCGCTGCTTGGCTGCGTGCATGACGTGTTGTGTGTGTGTCGAACTGATCTCTCTTTCGTGAGGAGTCCTGCCCTCCCTTTTATAGACCAAGGGGGAGCAGGAGGTTTACAGATGGGAGAGAGAGGAAAAAACCTAAGGTGGAGGCCACCCTTCGAAGGTGCCGAGCTTTCCTTTTCCCTTGAGCCTATACTGCTGTCATGGCAGACCGTGCCAGAGATAGCACATCCGCTGACCCTGACAGGGCCACACCCTGGCCCTTCTTCGGCGAGTGGTTACATCCCATCCTTTCCGATAGACGGTGTGGGGTGTCAGGGCGCCGAGCCAGGACTCTGAGGGGAGCGGACGGGGAGACGACTATACGCCTGTTACTGTAGATGATGTGAGTTTTCCCTTGGATTGTAGCGGTTGTCATATGCCTGTGTTCGTATCCACGCCCGAGGGCTGAAGGCGGCGCCTACTACACTGTGGGACAAAAGTCGGCGCCCACAACACTATTCGGGCACTGTTATGTCGGAAAGGGCTTAAATTACCCATCCCATCGTATCCTGACGGTACCTTCCTGTAGGCGCACAGGGCATGGCCCTCGATATCGTGGTTGACTCGAATGTCCTGTCGTACCCTGTGCTCATCTTTATGAAGGATCAGGGTGCGGTCGTCGGGCCCGGTATTAGGTCCCCGACAGTAGCCCCCAAGCCCTCGGGTGATTCGGACAGAATCGCCCGGGGGGTGTTTTGACTTGCCGGAGTTAATTCGAAAGAGGGTGTAGCCCCCGGGTGATTTGGGCAGAATCGCCCGGGGGTATTTCAAATCGCTAGAGGGTGCGTGTGAGCGCACCCGTCGGGTGTAGCCCCCGAGCCCCCGGGTGATTCGGGCAGAATCGCCCGGGGGGTATTTCAATTCGATAGAGGGTGCACGCGAGCGCACCCGTCGGGTGTAGCCCCCGAGCCCCCGGGTGATTCTGGTAGAATCGCCCGGGGGGTATTTCAATTCACCAGAGGGTGCGCACGAGCACACCCATCGGGTGTAGCCCCCGGGTGATTCAGGAAGAATCGTCCGGGGGGTAATTTTGGACCCTTCGCGGGTAAGGCTATGAGATTCGGTTTTTGTCAACTAGATAGTTTTAAGGGAACCCTGGTATCCCATTCACGGAAATCTCGTCCCGGGTCAGCCTGGTTGGGGCTCGACTGCGGGTCGAGGCCCTACTGATGCTCGTTTTCCTGAGTCCTAGTCGCTTGCGGTCCCACCCCTCATTGGGACGGCCGTCGTGACTGTTGGGCCGGCCCTTGGACCCGTATTCCCTTGGTGGGAAAAGAGTCCCGGTCTACCTGGGGAAGGCGAACCATCTGGCGCGATTTTGGTGGGAAAGGATAGGGATCGCGGGCGCGTATCCTGCGATGTGACGCGGCAGTGTGTCGTGGCAGGCTCGAAGATCGGGGCGGACGGTTTCCCTTCTCGCATCCGTCGACCCTATAAAACCACGGGGTTCGCCCCTAGGAATCCACGCTACCGGAGGCCCAGGCAAAGGTGACCGCGACTGTGACAAGCTTAACACCGCTGGATGTAGCCACGGTGGTGTCCAAGGGGGCGGCGCAATCCACGCCCCCGGCGGCCTAGGTTGCGGCGCTCGAGGTGGGCCGGATGGAGGAGGACACGGCCAGAGGATATCCAGCGTCGTGGCGGTGGTGGAGAGGACTAGCAGGGGGTCACCCTCGGCCCTGGTGTCGGGGGGCAGCCGCTCGCCCGCGTGGGGTTAGTCGCCGGTCCACTGGATGGATCCCCAAGCCCCAACATCGACTCTCTTCTCGCTCAACGATGCTGCCGAGAGCATAGAGCGGGGGAGTCTTGACGAAGGGATCTTGGTGATGATGGGCGTCCTAGATCAGGTTCGGGTCGTCCTGCGCGATGTCATCGTTCCCAATGGCCGGGTATCCGTTTGATCTTTCATCTCGTTTTCTTCTTGTCTTCATGTTTTTTGTATTTTTGACACTGGTCTTCTTTTTAGTCCCTCATTGCTCGTAGCTAGGAGAAATCCTGGTTCCTCCATGAGTAGAAGGTGGAATGGGACCGCCTCACCGAGGAGGCCTGGCTACGCAGAGATTTGAGCGCCTAGCTCATCGCCGCCCAGCAGCAAGAAACCGAAGCGTGTCGGGACACAGAGGAGATCCATGGGATGTTCGAGGACCTATCGGTGATGGTGATGCAGGATGAGGAGGCGGCCGCCAGGGTCTGAAAGGAGTGGGATGAGCTGCTCCAGAAGGACGTCGATGCCAGCCAGCAGGCCGTCGAGCTCCTGGCGGAGCTGGAGACGAAGCGGGATCTCAAGCTGAAAGCCAAGGACAGGTCCGCGACGCTACAGCAGAGAGCGAACTAGGATGCTGAGGTGATCGCCCGGCTGCGCAGGGAGCGTGACGAGTTGCGCCGAACCAAAGAAAGACTTCGCTCAGAGCGCAGCACGGCCCACGAGGAGCATGACCAGGCCGTTCGAGAGCGCGATGAGGCGCGTCGGGAGGCTGGGGCCCTCTGGCCGGATCTTGGAGATGCGGTGGCTCGAAGGCTAGAGGCCGAGGAAATTTCTGCCGGGCTGGGCACGGAACTCGCCGAGGTGCGGGGGATCCTTCAGGTCAAAAGCGATCAGCACGATCTTCTGTGCTCTGCCGTCATGGTGGTCTACGATGACCTACATGTGGCACAAGAGGAGGGGACCAGCTCCCTTACGACTCGTGCCACTGGTATCACGGCGCGGGTGGGCCAGCTTGAGGAGGACGCCTTTCACGTTGGGGTCACCCAAGCCTTCACTGTTGCCCATTCTCATTATGATCGGGAGATCAACTTGGAGGTAATGAGCCAAGGCTTCGTGCCTGGCTATGAAGGCTCCGAGCTGGATGAGATTGAAAAGGCGGTGACTCCCATTGCGCGG